CAGAATAGCTTCATCGTGGGCAGGTCTTGTTTTACCAATCTCATCTCCTTCTACGAGCAGGTAACTCACCACCTGGATAAGAGAGAGGAGGTCCGCACTGTTATACCTAGACTTCCAAAGGCCTTTGATCTTGTATCCCATGATGTTCTCAAGGGAAAATTGGAGGATTGTGGGCTTAACCACTGAATAGTTAGGTGGGTAGGAAACTGGCTGAGGGGTAGGACCCAGAGAGTTCTAATGAATTGATCTGTGTCATCCTAACAAGAAGTGAGCAGTGGTGTCCCTCAAGGGTCCGTGCTTAGTTCAGTGCTTTTCAACATCTTTATCAATGATTTGGATGTGGGGGTGAAGAGCTCACTGGCCACGTTTGCAGATGATACCAAGTTATGGGGGAGCATGGTCATGCTTGAAAATAGGCTTCAGATACAGGCAGACCTAGACAAGCTGACAAGTTAGGCAGATCGGACCCAGATGAAGTTCAACATTGAGAAGTGTAAAATGGTCCATCTGGGGATGAACAATCTCTAACACACTTACAGGCTCGGTGGTGCCAAACTGACTAGCTGACTGAAAGGAGCCTGGGGGAATAATAGATCATAGTATGAACATTAGTCATCAGTGTAATGCTGTAGCCAGCAGGGCAAACAATACTCTGGCATGCATCAACCAATGCGTCTCAAGCAAAACCAAGGAAGTAATTCTTCCACTTTACTCAGCATTGGTGAGACCGCGGCCTGAGTACTGCATCCAGTTCTGGGCACTGCACTTCAACAAGAATGTGGAAAAGTTTGAGAGAAGAGCCACCCATATGATCAGAGACTTTCAAGGCAAGCCATACAAGGAAAGGCTAAGGGACTTGGGTTTCTTCAGCCTAAAAAAGAGAAGGCTGAGAGGGAACTTGGTAGCAGGTTACTGCTATATCAGGGGAATGCATCAAGGGCTTGGCAAACAAGTGTTCACCAGGGTGTCCTTGGAGAAAGCCAGGAGTAATGGCCACAAACTCCTGGAAGACCATTTCAGGCTTACCACTGGGAAAAAAAACTTCCTCACAGTTAGGGTGTCCAGACTGAGGAATAAACGCCCTCCAGAAGTGGTGCAATCACGTACCCTGGAAATCTTCAAGAGGAGACTGATGGTCACCTTGCTGGAGGTCACCTGACCCCAGTTGTCTTTGCTTCCTAGTGCAGGGAGGCTGGACCCAATAATCTTGCAAGGTCCCTTCCAGCCCCTTACTATCTATGAATCTATGAATCTTTAATAGTATGTGAATCTTTGGTGTCTGCATCTCAAAAAGGATGTAGTAAAATTAGAAAAGGTACAGAAAAGGGCAACCAAAATCATCAGGGTATGAAGTAACTGCCATACCAGGAAAGATTAAAAAAGCTAGACTCTTCAATTTGGAAAGAAGGAGGCTGAGTGGAGTTATGATCTATAAAATCATGAAAGGTATGGCAATGCCAATGAAACGAGACAGGCCTTCAGAGCAAAAGTGTTGGAAGAAATACAAATTGAAGAAATAGAAGACACTGAAAGTTGGTGGCAAGAGGCAGCAGATAAGATCAGGAAAGTGGGAAAAGAAATTTGCAGAATGTCATCTGGAAAGATGCCTGTTGGGAAGGAAACATGATGGTGGAATGAGGAGGTCAAGGAAGTAGTAAGGGAGAAGAAGGAGAAATGTAAGAAATGGAAAGATACATGGGACCCTCTGGACTTTGAAGCATATACAATGGAGAGAAAGAGGACCAATGCTAAGGCCAAAAACACTGCAATGGACGATTTGTACTAAGGAACAGAAGGAATTGTACAGGATTGTTAGAAGAAGAGAGAGATTGACAAGGGATGTGATGCAAAGATATGATGATCAAAGATGATTTTGGCACACTGTTGATGAATGAAGAAGAGATTAAGGACAGGTGGAAAAAATATTTTGAAGACCTGATGAACAAAGAGAACCCAAGAAGTTTGTGAGCAAGTGCCACAGAAAATCAAGGCATGGTGACTGACATCAGCAGAATGGAGGTGGAAAGAGCATTGAACAAAATGAAGAATGGAAAAAGCAACAGGACCTGATGATATACCAGTGGAATTTTGGAACGTCTTGTGGGGAAAAAGGAATCAATATACTGTGGGAGATGTTTAAAGCAATATTTGCCACAGAGAATATGCCAAATCTATGAAGAGGGAGTGTTCTGGTGGCAATATTCAAGCAGAAAGATGATGTCCAGAATTGTGGCAATGATTGGAGAGTCACTTTGAAAGTGTGGAAAGGAGTGGTGGAGAATTGGTTAAGGACAGAGGTAGTCATTGGAGAAGGCCAGTATGGATTCATGCTGGGGAAAAGTACCATGGATCCGGTTTTTGCAATAAGACAGATGATGAAGAAATACAGGGAAGATTGTAAAGACATCCGTTTCATTTTTATTGACCTGGAGAAAGCCTATGATCATGTACCCAGGGAGGACATATGGGAGTGCCTAAGAGTTAAGGTGGTCCTGGAAACATATGTCAGAATCATCAAGGACAGATATTGGAAATGTGAGGAGCAGTTCAAGAGAGACAAAGAGTTTTGAGGTGAAGCTGAGTGTACATCAAGGGTCAGCTTTGAGCCCGTTTCTGGTTGCAGTCATGATGAATGTGTTTACTGAACAAATAAGGAGACCACCCTGGAATATGATGTTTGTGGACAACATGGTCATTGCTCTGAGAATCCATAGGAAGTGCAAGCTGGATTGGACCAATGGAAAGAAGTGCTAGAGGGGAGAGGAATGAAGATTGATTGATCCAAAACAGAATATACACATTGTGATTTCTCTGAGGTACCTGATATTGGAAATGTGATAATCTATAGGAAACATGTTCAGAAAGTTAACAAATGCAAGTAACTGGAGTCAGCCATTCAGTGGAATGTAGACTTAGATGAGCTGAACCATTGAATAACAGCAGGATGGACAAACAGGAAATTGGCAATAGGAATATTATGCAACAGGAGAATATCAGTGAAGCTGAAGGGGAAAGTCTACAAGACATGTGCATCCAGCGCTATTGTATGGAGTGGAGACATGGCCCCTGAAGAAAACTCAAGAAAGGAGAGTGAACGTGACAGAGATGAGAAATCTCCAATGGATGTGTGGAATGATGAACCTGGATAAAGTGAGGAATACGTACATCAGAAGATCAGTGAATGTAGTAGCAGCACCTAAGAAAGTACAAGAGAGAAGACTGGCATGATATGGGCATGTTCAAATGCGTCTTCAAGAATACATGAGAAAAGAAGATATCAGAATGGCATTACCAGGGAGAAGGAGAAGAGGAGATGAAGACGAGATGAAGAGATATAGTGGAGAGGAAAATGAGAGAGAAGGAGTTGAAAGAGGAAGTTACATATGACCAAAGCTGGTGAAGATCCAAGCTCTGCAACAGTGAGTCTGTTCAGATGGGACAAGTGAGGAAAGAAGGAGGAGAAGAAGAAGTTGATCATCATCATCATGAAGGGTATGGACAAAGTGAAAAGGGAAGTGTTACTTACCAATACAATAACTAGAGGACATTCACTGAAATTATCAGGAGAAAGGTTTAAACCAACAAGCAAAAGTTAGTTTTTATGTAGCTCATTTAACTTGCACAACTCCTTTACACAAGAGATTGTTCACATTGTTACCATGAGAGACTGTAAAGGTAAATAGCTAGCCAGGTTCAAAAAGGGACTAGACAAATTCATGGATGACAGATCCACTAACAGTTATTAAACAGAATAGGCAGGTGTGCATCCTCTGGTCAGGAAGGATATAAAAGAGGACAGATTACTTTAGATGTACCCTGTTTATATGTCCTCCCTCTAAAACATCCACTCTTGCTACTGTCAGAAACAGGATACTGGGCTACATGGACCATTGGGCCAACCCAGTATGACAGTCCTTATTTTCTTATGTTTTTATCAATACAAAATACAATCACGTAAGACATGCACAGTAGATTTTTAAGATGCCATTAAATTTTTCCCAAACAATCAGAAGTTAATAATATTTCTTCTGTAAGAGGAACTGTAGTATATGCCTGATTTTTTGGAATTATGATGACAGAACCTATAAATGCTCTGTGTTCCCATCTTTCCATGGTCTCTGTGGCAGAATTAGTGGCTCCTCTGGAATTCCAGTATTTACTTCATGCTCATTACATACTTTGAAAAATATTACATTTTTGATTCCCAACTCTTTTTATGTTTTTATGTTAAAATATCTGCACCTCAGTGCCTAAGTTCATTTAGTTGTTCTACATAGTACTTGACATATTTTGTAGAATAGTGTTAACAAGCTAATAATGATTCTTGTTTTTCTCCTCCTACCCCGCCTTTCAATTATCCTGTTATTGTAAATGGACATTTCATGTGGATATGCTAACTTCTGGCAGCAAGGAATTAAACTGGGGTTGTTCAAGTCAAAACCATACACCTGAAAAGATTAATTGGTGAGTCCCAGTTTTTTTAATTACTGGCATTTTTTAGTACAAAGAATTAAATAAAGGACTGTCCTTAATATAGATGAAGAAATGCTATTGACATTAATAGTAGTTCTCTGTATGAATGAAGGCTAAATAACATGTGGTTTTCCTCTGCCTCCTTAAAATACATGAATGATTTATCTCTAAAGAACTTAGCCTAGTGTCCACCAAAGGTAATAAAAGAGTTGTATTGATTTTGATGAACATTAGATTAATTCTGAAGTATACAGCTCGTCTAAAGATAGTAAATGGATAGCTGCCCCATAAAAAAAATGATTATAGGAAAATAATTAGCCATAACTACTGTATATGGTTATTTCTCCCAACTGTCTTGTTTTTATATATTTAATCAATTGCATTGTATTTATGTAAAAAATAGAGGGCTGATCCAAACCTTGTTGAAGTCAACAAGACTCTTTCTACTGGCTTCACTGAGTTTGGATCAGGGTAATCAAATAGCTCTTGTTTAATATCAATTTTATTTTGTTATTGTGAGCTGACAGGTCTCCTATTATTTGGGTGAACAGAAGCTTGCCGTTGTGGGGGTTACAGGTAATGTATAATTTAAACATTTTAGTAATTTTTTTAATGTATGGTCTAAGTAAACATTATTACAATGTTTCAGGGAAGTTAATAAGCATATAGCAATAGTTACAAAACTAAGGTATTTCACATATGTTGCAACACATTATAAGGATAATTATAAAGCAATAAGGATAAACTAAAAAAGCAAACCTGATTTCTTCCAATGTGGCACTACATGTTTTACTAGTCTGGAATATATTTGTATTTTAAATAAAGTACTGCGGATGAAGAGAGAGCATACTAAAAATTATTTTATTATTTACTTTAATTAAAAGTAATTTTCCTTAAAAATTACATAAATCACTATCGGCTCAATATTGTTGCTTTTACTAAAATGACTGGTTCTAGTGTTGTACACTATGGGCCTTGTTACACATTAATTGTAGGTGGATTCTGGCGTGCTTAACACCTCCATTGTTCATACATTAACACCTGAAACTAGTTTTAAGCACACTTTAGGTGGTTTAAAGTTACACCACTCCAGGGCGGGTTTATCTCTGACCTGTGTTACCCAGCTCATTAATGTGTAGCCACTCCCCATGGATGAGCACCCAAGTCTTCCAGCATCCCAGAATTCAGTGTCCCCTCCCCTCCCCTCCTGTACTATGTGGACATAATTTCCAACCCCTAAACTCTACTGGCCAGGGGACAGTTCTGGCACCAAGCCAACTTCTTCTCCTGCTCCCAGGGGTGTGACCCCATGCAAACAAGCTGCCAGCTAGCTAAGTCACAGGGCATGGATGGGTCCAGCAGTGGGATCTATGGGGATTGGGAGGGAACAAGGTAGGAGGCCAGATTGGGTCCCCATGAACTGGGGTTTCCTTCCCAGGGCAGGAGCAGGTGCTCTCCCAAAAGCACTTTTCCTCAATGCTCCTATCTCCCAGGCACACTGGGAAGCATGACCAGCACCCCTTACTCCCAAATCCCAATGTATGGCCTTCTTTACCTTACTTCCTCTTTCTTTCTTTTTAAATAGAAAAGCGACCAAATAGTAAAGCGACCAAAAGCGAGTAAAGCGAGATTGATGTCATATATCTTGACTTCAAAAAAGCCTTCGATCTGGTGTCCCATGATCGCCTCTTGGAGAAACTGGCCAATTGTCGCCTTGGGTCCTCCACGATCCGCTGGCTGGAAAATTGGCTCTGCGGTCGGACCCAGAGGGTAGTAATCGATGGAAGTCACTCATCGTGGTGTCCTGTGACCAGTGGGGTCCCCCAAGGCTCTGTCCTTGGACCCATACTGTTCAACATCTTCATTAATGATGTGGACACTGGAGTCAGAAGCAGACTGGCCAAGTTCACCGATGACACCAAACTTTGGGGCAAAGCATCCACACCAGAAGACAGGCAGGTGATCCAGGCTGACCTGGACAGGCTCAGCAAGTGGGCAGAC